TAGAAAATAATGGAGTATTTCTCTTCGCCTTTCTAGGTCAGCCATATTCTTAGATGACACCTGACCCCTTTAGCCCTTCAAGTTCTGTCCCTTAGAGTGTGTAAGCATAAATCTTTAATCTCCTGTTCCAGAAAGTATAAAATCCAACAGATATCATGAGGAGATCAACTGTGTGCAAGTAATGTCTTTCCCCTCTGGCAGGAATTGCCTTCCTAGATCATCCCCAGCATCTTTCACCACAAGACAGCCAATGTTCCATGGAAGAAACTACCCATGCAGTTAGAGAATCCCTAAATGTTAGTATTGCACATGTTTTTGCAATCTCAAAAAAGATCTTTTCTCCAATGATGTCATGCTTTTGACAGCGACTATCAGTCTGTACCCTGACCCAACAAATATGCCTAGGAAAAAAACTTTACCAATGATCTAAAGCTCATTTAGAAAAAGGCTCTTAGGAATTTTAGTTAATGCAGTTCTTGATGATTCCACAGGTCTCCAATGTCTTTTAAAACATAATTTTTTATCCAAGAGTTTATTATCTGCTGTTTTTTAGTTACTGTAGTACAACAGACTGCCTGTGAATACTGCATACAACCTAGACATAGCAATCAATTTCAAAGAGCTTTTAAAAGGCAACACAATTGTAAAGCAATTGCACAGAAAATATTTCAAGAAGTATTTTGAGAAATAGCAGTACTTAAATTAACCTGTGGGCCCTCCCTGGTGGTGCAGTGGGTTAAAGCACAGCACTAAGAAGCTAAAGCCACTTCAGCATGAGTTCGATCCCCACCTCGGAGATGATCCACATGGCGTGGCAGACCTCTCCTGACCTGCTGCTCCCCTCAAGAGTGTACTTTGTTGGTCAGCCTTTTCTGTTCCCCACTCTGTCTCTGGTGAATCGTCTCACCGCCCCTGCACCTCTGGCCTGTACCCCAGTTCTGTATGCATAAATAAATAAATAAATAAATCTTAAAAAAAATTTAACTTTTAATTCTTAGGGTAAGAAAATTCACTTGTATTTATATATTCTAGAAATTTGGTCTTAAAATTTTGTTATACAATCACACATTATTTTAAAAAGATCACCTTAATATTTTAGAAACATTACACAATTTTTTTAGATGTGCTCTGAGTATATTAGCAAATATAAAGTATTTAGTAATCTGCAACTGTACCATTTGAGGGAAGTTGTACTTGTTCCTCTTCAGTGTATTTTGTTTTGGCATTAGACCTATAGATACATACCCAGACTATGTACATATGATAATTAAATTTTCAAAATAAATTAAGAAACTTGTCATTCTCAATTTCTATTTTGCATTTTCCCCTCATACTCTGAAAATATACTTTACATGTATATGGCTTAATGGCATATAAATAATACGTAGATATTTCATTTTGTCAAAACACAATAAGAATGCTATTAAAGTCATTTATACTCATTTGGTTGATTAATAATTTGTTTAGAGATAATATCTCTCTACATTGCATCTGATTAATTATTTCATATTGCACCATGACCATATTTATCTTGCTGCTATGCTCAGCATTTTAAAGTAAATTGAATTTTAACCATGGAGTGAGAAACAGAGTACATGGTTTTTAAAAAAAGTTTAACTATAATTTTTGCATTTATCTGATTCCAGGTTATTGAAATCCCATGAAACTTATTTTAATATAACAAAAGAAACTACCAAGTATTACCACATCTTGCTTTGATAATTTTCAATCCAGCCTTGTTTTAATCACTGTAGATACTTCTTCCATTTCCTCCCTTTTGCTAAGACTTATTTTGAAAACAATTCTTCAACTTCACTCCAGTTCTTCTGTAAATATTTCAATATGCATGTTTAAACAGATTCTTTCTAGATTTAACTACAATCTGACCATTATATAGAAAAAAAAAATTACTTCCTTAATATTTTCTTTCTTTCTGGTCCTCCCTTGTGGCACAGCTACGGGTTAGGGCACAGTACTTCAAGCTAGCCACAGGTGCTTCAGGGAGAGTTTGATCCCCGACATGGGAGATGATCCACATGGCGTGGCAGACCTCTCTTGACCCACCTGCTACTCCCCCCAGCAGTGTACTTTATCAATCTGCCTGTACCCCAGTTCTGTATGTATACGGAATGTATACATAATGTTATGAATGTATACAGAATATATGTATATATACAGACTGTATGTAGATGTGTGCACACATACAGAATCTATGTATGATGTGTGCACACACAGAATGTATGTATGAAGTACACACACACAGGATTTATGTGTGCACACACAGAGAATGTATGTGTGCATACACACAGAATGTATGTATGTACTAAAAAAAACTTTTTAAAGATTTATTTATACATACAGAACTGGGGTACAGAATAGAGCAGCAGACCAGTCAGGAGAGGTCTGCCACGCCATGTGGGTCACCACCCTGGCCTGGGATCAAATTCAAGCTGTAGTGGCTGCAGACAGCTTCACAGTACTGCGCTTTAACCTGTCATGCCACTGAGAGCCCTCCTTCATATTTCCAGTGGTCACATCTCTGTAACTGTTGTAAACATTTTTACAGTTTGTATGACTATCAAGTATTAACAGCAAAGCAATATTCTTTTGTGCCACTAGGTGGTAGAACTGCATAAATTTAAGACATTCTTAAATGATCTAGTTGGAGGAGATACACCTTTCTTTCTTTGGGTTAAATATTGATAGGTTAATAATCAGGCAACATGATTTAAGACTATGTAAATTGTAGTATAAAGTCTAATAAGTCTTCAGGGGAAATAACTGGAGTTTTGGTCTATCCAATTAGGGAAGTAATAATTATTTCCATGTGTCTGTACAAATCAGTATTCTAAGACAAAAAGAAACTGGTAAGGATTCCTGCTTTTTAGCAGTTTTAAACATGCTAATGAGAGATACATAAATAATTACATTATAAGGTTGTAACTGCTATAGTAAAATATGCCCAATCCTAAAGAAATGTGTAGATGGATTTGCAAGGATGTCTGCAGAATCTTGTGTTGAGTAGTAGTCAATTCTGACAAATTTAAGGGTTAGTATTCATGATGTATATGATACAAGGCTAACCTGATATTCCATTGTAATATTAAGGGTTTTTTTTGCACTGTTATTGTGAGAAATATTCCACTTTAGCATGGAGATGAATGGAGAGAGTTAACTATCTCCCAAAAAGAAAATTTAATTTCCTCAAATAAATTAAAATTTAAAAAGTGATCCAGATTTTCACACTACAAAACAGATATCCAGACAGACTGGTGGAATGAATTCTCTGTAAACTGTACCTCCAAAGTGGATCAAAGAGCAGTTCTATTGGGAATCTCAAATTCTGTATTTTTAAACATTTAAAGACATGTGCCACATACAATTTTAGATATATTGTGTTGATCAATGTTACAAGCTATTCTTTTTCAGCCTATTAGATAAATGATTCATATGTTGTTAAGATCAACTCATTTTATGTAGGTTAAGAAAGTTTTTCATAGTCTTATTCTAGAAGAATTTGGAGATCTGTTATTGCTGAGGAAAGCTCTTACTGCAGAAATAGGCAATTAGATAGAAAAGATTTACAGGTAGATAGTTACAGATAGGTAGGATAGTTTATATGAGTAAAAGGTTTAACTGTTATGATATTGAATATTAAGTGTGAAAGAGGAGCAACAGTTCAGGGATATACAGAAGCTTTAAGGATAAGGCAACCTCAAATTGCATAGAAAAAGATCTAGATGAAAACTGGAAATGAATAAGGTGCGTAAGATTAGAGAGCGGATCAGGAAGCCAGGTGTTAAAATGGCTGAAAGGCAGAGACAACACAAAACAGGAAGATTAATTTTTAAAGAGAAAGAGGTAGCTAACAGTTTTGTTGATGATCTCCAATTAGGTGAAAAAGAATCTGCCTCAGTTTCAGAACTAAGACAGCTAAATCCCTAGTATTTTGAAATTAGAACACTTTCTCCACCACAGACTGGAATATTTTATAACTTTCTTTGAGGTTTTAACAGCTTTTCAATGTTATTTAGCAAGCCAACTTCAGGACTTCAAAGTAGTATGGCCAGCACCTAGCATCTTTGCTAGCAAAACACCTTTATTTTCCAATAAGGCAATCTAAGGCCAGGAGGGTACCTAAAGATGATAAAGCTCAGCTTTTGGCAAAATCTGTAATGGGCCCGGGTACTGAATTTTAGTTCAGGGCAGGAATGTCACAAGGCTACCCTGGTTTTCTTGATCATCACATCACTTAAGTGGAGCCATAATCTAGAAGTTGGGGGGTAAGGCTGTATTTAATAATTTGGAGTAAGGCTATATTTAATAATTTGAGATACAGAGCCTTAACAACATCAGTATGAGCTGCATGGGTCCACTTATACATGGGTTCCCATTCCTCCCCCCCACCTCCCAATACATACAGCTGGCACAACTTCGCATTCACAAATGCAATCAACCATAGATCTGTGGAAACTATAGCTATGGAGATTAAACTACAAGAAACATGAACATCTCTGGGCTTTGATGTTGGGGAGCAGGGTAATGAAACCAATCTTGTTACTTAACACTAAGAACTATAGGCAAGTTTATGTGGAGTCAAAAATTATAGACAGATTTTCAACTACTGGGTGGTTACTATGACCTGTGTTCTTCAAGGGTAACTGCATCTTAAAGTTGTGTTGTTTTTTCCTACAAATTATACAGAAACCCAGCCGCAGTCTAGTGATGCCAAAGTTAAGTCTCTTTATTTTTAACCTTAATAATTAAGAACTAACATACCAGTCACTGGCATTTATCATTATTTTCTTTATATGATTCACTGGTTGGATACAAAACATTTTATTTAAAAAATATAATTGCTGACTTTTGGAAGAAAGCTTCTACATCACTGCATAACTTAATATGAACCTTTAGGTGAGTGAAGTATCTAACCTCATGTTTTCAAGAAGGAATACTGAACCAAATGGATAAACTACAATTAAAAGTCACAATCTTAATACCTTCATATTAGATGCCTCAGTTTCCAGTTTTGTAAGATGATTGGAATTATCTTCTAGCTCTTGTCGAAGATTTGAGTTCTCCATCTTCAGTGCCTCAACTTGCTTTAACAACTGATCATATGAAGCTGCAGCCATCCTTGGCTACCCTTGGACCTATAAGGTTAAAAAGGATTTTGAAATTCACTACTAAAAATATAGGGGCTGCCTTTTTACAAAGAAATGGGTAAAGAAACAAACTCTTGAGATATTTAATAAGAAGATTGCATTAATATGTTTAAGGAGCAGTACTGTTTAAGGAGCAGTATCTCTAAGAGGATTGGTTCCCACTTGAAGATAAACAGGTTTAAAATAGAAGAGAATATCAATAGTATATAAGGATGTTTGCCTTTTCACAGATGGATGAGATTTCATTTGGGTAGAAGATTTTCAAGGTTTTAAAGTATTTTATCTAGTCTTAACAGGCAAAATTTAGGAAACTGAAGTTTACTAATACCGATAGTATTAATTTATATGTAGACTTTATCTAACAGTGACAGAATGTGAAAGCCAGAATAGATTAATGAAGATTAAATACTACATTTCATCACTTTTCATGTGAATAAAGGTTAGTATTAAAAATCACTGTTGTAGTAGCTGTTGTCAGTCTCTAAGAACTTATTAGAAGATAATCATTTAGGCAAATGGACACAAAGGAAAGCATTACACTGAGACTTCAAATCTTTTTGATAGGAAGATGATAAATAGAGTTACTAATAGAAAGTTTGACTACATGTATTCAAAAAGAATAGGCCAACTGATGGCATAGCTTTGGGATACTCAGGCTCAGAATAAGGCCAAAGAACTTTAAAGAAAATGAATGATTTTAGGAATAGAGACTGTCAAAAAGAAGTGAAACAGAATAGGAAAGTATACAACTGTCAAAGAAGAGGGAAGAAAACGAAGATAGAAGACAGCTAGGTAATATGAGGTCCTTGTCATGAAGAATTAAAGATGTTAGGAATTATATTAAGACTAATCAAAGTTAGAAGACCCAGGTTTTCTTTGGGGTTTAATACCAAACTCACTTTTGATATAAATAAAATTCTGCCTATCTTAATTCCTTCAAAACTAAAAAGCATTATACGAAGCTTGTATTTAAACAATAATGATCTTGATAATAAAAAGGTGCTTGTGTAATAAAATTCACTGCACAAAATAAGGCATACAGATTTTAACACTAGCTAGTCATGTCAATATTGAAGTTCAGCAGCTAGAAGGCCACCTGAAAAGGGAAATCAAGAGATTCAGGTCTACAGAGTCAATGAGGAGGAAAGGGAGGAGGAAAGGGAGTCCTATGGAGGAAAGGGAGTCCTGAGAGGTCACAAGAGCTTTCATACTTCAAAAAAAAAAAAAAGAGCAATCTAGATTTGTATTACAGATGTGATTCTTATCTTCTGTCTTCATCATGGCTTAATCTTTGTCCTTTTGTTTTCATTCATTTCACCATTTAAAAATAGCCACTACCTACTGTGATACAATTTACAAGGATATTTTTAATATTAAGTAACAAAAGGCAGGCATACAGTGCTATGTATATATGCTGTATTGTGAAAATACAATGTAACCTATCTTCCTCAATAAGACTTAAATCCCTGTGACCTGACCAATGTACAGATGAAAATATTTGCCCTTTAGAAAAAGATGGACTCTACATCTCAAAATGAAGGTGTGATCATTTTTGTTGTTTTATCATGACACTGATAGCTGGCTAGAAATAGGCTACTTTAAAAATCATGCAGCAGAGGTAGTGATCAGAAAGAATTTAATAATACAAGCCCTAAAATTCTGTATCTCAAATAAAAATTAAAAGGAAATTCTGTACTAATAATACAACAAAGTAAGAGAAAAGGTAAAAACACAGAAAAGGAGATGTGTTTACATAGGTAGGTTTACACAGAGATAATAAACTTACACAATCATAAAATGAGCCAAGTGGGCCAGACTAGCAGACACTACTTAAAGTGACTTTATCAGAGAGACAATATGTAACTCCTCAGACAGAAAAATGAAACATTCTATCATTTTTTTCCTACTCCAGAATCGTAATGTTTAAAGCCATTTCTGCTCTAGATATCTAGCTGGGTCTTTCATATAATTTTATGGAAAAAATAAAGTGGCTTGTGGAGTAAAACATCCTTTCAGGATGTTGTAACTCTCCCCCTCTATCTTACAACTAACTGCTTTATGCAAAATTTGAGAATAATGAATTTACTTTGGAAAACTTTTTATAGAATCACAAAAAACTTAAAACAAATCTCTTAACTCCACATTATTCAACATTAAAAAAAAAGTTCATCTCACAAAAAAATGCAGAGATTTGCATAAAGTTAAGACAGGTAAGAGGATTTATTATTAATGTGGAGGATTTGTTATTAATAATTTTAGACTCTTTGGATCACATTTGCTTTTAAAATTGCAGAACTGTTAAAACAACATGTGAGGTTGCCAGCACCATTAGATTATAGTAAATCTCAGAAACCAAAAGAACTCTGCAAATAAACTTGAATGCTTAAATGGAATGAGCAGTGTATAAGAAAATTTATAATAAATGATTCCTTCAGAAAATAGAAAATCTAAGTCTATAATAAAAACCACCATTAAAGAATTATTACTTTTAAATATCAATAAATCTACACAGAAAAAAATACACAATCATGCTGATGACAAGATTTTTATAAATTCAATCCCATGAAGATGAACATACAGTTTTAAAATAGCCAAAAGCAAGCAATTATGAAGAAATACTAGACAGAGCTATGAATTTAGGGAAAAACCCACTTTTACCATTCTATTACTTATAATAATTTACACAATTAAATTTAAAAATGAAGTTAGAAAGGAATACTATCAGCAAATGATAAAATTAAATACTCGAACAACTAAAATATTGTAACTTTAACATAGAAGAGTACAAAACATACAGAAACTTTTTTTTTTATATATGAACTGTTAACCTAAAACTTTAAAAGGCTATTACAAAGGTAAAATATGCTTATCAGTGTCAAAAATTACAATCTGGGAAGCCCATATTTGGGTGGAAATGTCAAAGAAGGACAAACATCAGTATATTTTTTATAGAAAGAAAAAATAGGATGAGGTGATGGATGAGAAAATAAGTCTGGCAAAGAAGTCATATGGTAAAATGGTCAGCTGATGGGATCATAAGGTAGGTGAAAATTCTCTTTTATCAGTCTTTGCAAATACAATATTCTTAATCTTGCTGGCATCTTGGCTCCCCAGTCCAGAGTTCTGACAGCTTAAGTAAGAGAACAAAGCAGTGTTTCTGTAGCATCATTCTGAGCCTATTTGAAGTTACTACACTTATGGTGACTTTTCATATTTCCCCCTTTTTATTGAGATCTTTGAATGCGTCACTGGTCAACATAGTAAAGGACTACTGATCAATTGCTAGACTGAGTTAGACTGCATGCCATGTCCCCCTTCAGAAGGAAAGAAGTATTCCTGGGAGCCTCTGGGTCACATTTGGGGTTCAAAAGAATCAGAGCAGAGAAAGGCTTTACCATCAAGTTTCTTTTAAGGGCCAGTATTCTTTTGTGGTTCCTTGCAGTTTCTCTTATAAGGCTCAAAAGCCTTAGAGATCACTTCAAAGTGCAGAATGATCATTATCTTAGCAGTTTTCTTACTGATCTATTCAAGAAACAGAAGTTTTACAACAAAAACTCCTATGGTAACAAATAAAATGCTAAGTCCAAATTGGAGAACAGACTTGATTCAGCAGTCAATGCCTGAGGGCAACAAGCTCTAAGTCAAACAATAGTATTAGTGGATGTAACATTCAGTCATTGGCTTTTGCCTGAATTTTGTCTAGCTATCTCCATTTTGCCAGAAATGTTAAACACATACAAGAAATATTTAATAAGAGAACCCCCACCAAGTTAAGCCAAAATATAAGCAAGTACAATTCTTGTTTAATAAAATTCATGCAAGAGAATCACCCAAAGATTTTCCTGAGTAGTTATTGCTTCAGCAATAGATTCCACAATAATGAACACCTATGGTTTTAGGTATTAGTAAGACAAATTTCTTCATGTATTTTTCATTTCATGCAGTGCCTACCCAAGGGAAAAATCTTCTTTCAAATCTGAGGGCAACACTGGATTTGATATTACCAGGTAATCAATAGTCTTGACTAGGCTTGCAGTCAGCCTCACACTTTATTTTGTGATGTAGATTTACTGATGTGGTCCAATGTGAATTCCTGTGGATCATACAATACGCTAGGCATAACTAATAATCCAACTCTAAAAGAAGCTAGAATTCAGTAGCCAATCCAATTTATGGCAGAAAATGAAACCTCAAAAACAATTAACACCAGAATCTAATATCTACAAAGGTGCAAACACAATTTTTCTTTCTGATTATCTCCACTGCTATTAAAGATAATCAGAACAAAATTAATTTGTTTACAAAATCATTCTATGTTTAGTAAACTTGGTTTGTTATCTGGATGAATACAGCAAGAATAGTTATTAACCACATATGTGCTTTTAAATTCCTTTACTGCTTGTCATCACATTTAAATTGTAACACCCATAGCTTGCGTGAATTCTTCTCCCAGTTCAGAGATTACAGTCACGTTTGGTAACAGAACCAATTATATCCTATTATAAAGAAAACAAATTCTTATTGAAGTTATGCAATTAAGAATAATGTCATAAGAATACATTCATATATCATGGAGAAATAATGTCATTAGGTGACTGTGTCACTGTGTAAACATCGTGAGAGTATAAATACACAATGTATATGGTTCAGCCTACTCAGTATAGCTTATTAGGACCACTATTGTATAATGGGTCCAGTATTGAATGGAATGTCAATAAACACCTGACTATTTATGAAGCTTCCAAATTCAGTCAGGGAGAAAAATGTTTCTTTGATAATTTTTTTTAACCTGATGCTGATAGTGTGTTAGATGGCAGTGCTCCCATAACGAATTACATAGGCAAATATTTGGGATATCTGTAGTTAATAACAACAAAATCAGAAACATTATATACATAACTGATAGCAATTTTTAGTCTTAAAGAAATTATGGCATTTTGTAAGAGTATAAGGTAAGTCTGATCATCTCCAGCTCATAAAAACCACAC